CAAGACTTGGCATCTTGCGGGTGGGTGCCCAAAGACAGGCGCTAGAGTTTTTGCAGTGTGTACTGACTATGTTGCACCAATGCGCTGACTTGGGTCTCAGGACCCAACACGACTCCAAAACAAGACGATGGCACCTCTCAAGCATTGCACCTCCAAGAGCGCAACGGAAAAGAATGCTCAATGACCTACTGATTCCATGAATATTCTTGTTTGTCCAAACTTTCTGGGCTAGGCACATCCACTCACAGGGTGAACCATGGATTTGGGAGCGTGGAGGGGTACCCTGTCCACGGGCTGTGTTCTTGTACATATGATCCATTGGGAATTTTGATTCTCAGATCAAGATGAGTTGGGGAAATCATAGCTCATGTTTTGCTCTTCCAGGAGTTTTGGTCTTTAAGAACTTTATTTAACTTTAGAGTGATTTTTTCTGATAAACATGTTAATCTGAGACAAGTATGTATTTTCAACGCACTGTGTACAGTAGGGCGCTCCCGCTGAAGCCATGATCATTGGCTTTTGGACAAAGACTAGGATTCAACCATGAGTTTTCATTCAGAGCAAACATAACTTCTCATCTTAACCAACTGCTTGAAAGTTGAAAGAATCTGGGAGACTCATGCACATGGGACAGAGAATCACCCTAGCAAACACCATATAGGCAAAAATCAGATTCTTGTGTTTATTGCAAGATCCAGGTCCAAGAGAACTTGATGTTGAAGATGGGGCAGCCATGTTAGATAGAGGCAGGATAGAGGCAGAATGTCCGTTTTTGCACAGTGTGCGCTCACACATATCGTTGCTGCAGCAAGTGTCGAAAGCAGCGGCGGGGAACTTGTGATCAGCAAGGCTTCTGTGGTGGAAACATTGACTGAAATTTGGTCAAATCTCACTCCAGGGCTAAGACGGAAGAATCTGGATTATTTCTTTTCTAAGGTGCGGGGGCTTGCAGAAGACACAAGTTTGTTTGGTTTTGTTTGTGATACAATTTTGACAGGTATGACGTGAAACTTTTTTGTTTGTTGTCAATCTCATGTTTCAAAGAGCGAACAGAACGATATAGAATTTAGCAGATTTTTCTACAATGGTCATCATAATTGTGTTCATAATTGTGTTTTCTCGAGAGTTATCACCCTTATCACCCACAGGTACCTTTTTGTGAAGGTGCCTACGCTTCTTTTGTGAATGTTTTCGTTCTGCGACGCGTGCTGATATCTGAATTTGGGCTGGACTTCGCACTTCCAGTTGTTCGTGTGCAGGGGGGACGATGAAAGTTCAATTGCTGCTGATTCAGTGGCCTTGGTGTCCAGTGAAGCACCAGCAGCATCAACCCGTGTCAATGAATTTGAAGTTCATGATTCTGATTCCGATGTGGTTCCAGTTGCTGGAAGCAAAGGGGCGAATCAAGATTCTGGAGCTGGTTCATCATCTCAACCTCAACCTCAATCTTTGTCAGCCTTGCCGGTTGTCCTTTATGATAGCCGCTCTTCCACAAATCAAGCGAGCATTGGTTCCATGAACGTGTTTATGAGCTTGCAAGGAAGCCTCCGCTGGACCTGGCCAAAATGGTTGCGACGGCTGAGCATCAACTTCAAAAACGAATGCACGCATTGCGGCTTTGGTGAACCAAAACAAAAGGCTAAAGAGAGAAGCGTCTAAATCTAGCAGGCTTGCCGGCTTGCCATCCAATCCGCGGAGGTCCTTCAGCAACAGCAGCTGAGTTCATTTGCAGCGCGCAAGCTTGGCAAGCAGAAAGAAGGCAGGGCTGGTCGTCTCAGTCTTGTGTCCTCCTTCAGCATTGGAACCCGGCGGTGTGCGATAAATGTGGCAGCCCTAGATTTTGGAATCATCTCCATGGCTGACAGAAGTGGGCAAACAGTGATCCGTGCTGAACAGAGAACGGCATCATCGATTTTGTATGGGATGAACTGTTTTGCCAGCGAGGCAATGGATGTAGCAATGGAACAGCACAGGCTTCACTCTGAAGCAGTGGCTTCTGGAAACATTGAGGAGGCAAGGCATCATGAAAGCCCGCCCACAATCACACTCAAACAAACTACAAGTTGCAGCAACTACGACCAAGGACCCAAGGACCTACAAACCAAATCAACCATCCATCGTTCATCATAAATGATCCTTGATTGGCAACCCTAAACAACAAGAAAAACTTTGGTCACAGTCAAACATTGATTTCAAAAAATGCAAATTCACAATCAAAGCGTCACACACCGCTTTACACGAACGGCTGGCGCCCAAGAACCGCGAACAGAATGTTCATCGTCGCTGAGGTAAGCCATGGAGCACTCAAGAACTTGTAGCTTGCTGCGACGCCAGACGGAACTGTTCGTAGCATCAGTTCTGAATGCCAAACATCTTCAGATTGCCGCGGTTCTACTGCTGCACACGCTCTTGGTTTGGTGGTCAAGCAATTGGAAACCATGGGGGTGCCTTACGTGCAAAACCTTTTAGCGTATCACCAGAACCTTATCTTATTTTTTTGCCCAAGCAATTCTTTTGAGCAGAGCTTTGATCATTGTTGCAGTTGACAAGTGTTTCCGTTTTGTTCAATGATTTAGCCATTTATGTTTCATTTGAAGACTTGACATCATTGACAAAAGGTTACAAGGTTTGTTTATGAGTTTATGACACTATGAAACATTTTGCGAAGCTCGCAGCTCTAGGAATGGCCGCGCCGGGAATCAAAGCATTTTTGTGTTTGCAGACATAACGGACGCTGGTCCAGATCAGGCTGCCCGACGGAAGCAGGTCAAAACCGCTATATCAGCAAGCGATGATATTTTTGGTTGTACTTTCTACTTTGACCATCATTGCCTTCTTCACCAGTACCACATCATTGTAAGAGAAGGTCTTCAACTCATCGATGCGTTCTTGGAAGAGGTCTCAGACGTCTTCATTGAGTATGGGTTCCGGAAGTATTATGGCAGCCAACGTCTCAGAGACTGAACCTGTTGACTGGTCACTCATCCAGACAACTTCCGGAATGTCCACTCCTTTCTCTTACCGCTTCCTCTGAGCTCTTCCGCTTGGTTCCGGCTGAGGACGAAGAACCTCGAGCTGGCCCAACTTCTAATTGATTTCCCGATTCTCGAAAACATCCTCAAGCGGTTGCTTCTTCTTCTTAACTTCCCCCTCCCACGACCACGTCCAGATTTGACCGGTTTAGGCTTAGCATCGCCCTCATCCTCAGCCTCAGCATCTTTTGGCTCTTTTTGCGGGAGCTTTCACTTTGCTCGACAAAACTCCCATCAGTGCAGGAGCTAGGAAGTCGCGTGTGCGGCTCAAAAGGCATTGCTCGGCGTTCTGTATGGATCCCCAACAAGAAGTTACACAGCGCATGGGATAGCTCGGTAGTTTACCCCTTCTGGCGCCTTTGAACCATGTATGTTTTCCCAGCTGGTGATAACACCGTTCACGTGCTCTCACCAAAAGTTTTTATGGACATGTCTTGAGGAGGATTGTGAGGTACATCGCCAGGTGCCCTTCAGAGACATATTTATTCGAGTAGGGCGCGCCAAGCAGACTTGAACCCAGTGTGATGCAGGTTGGGCAGCGCGCAAGGATAGGACATTGAGATGAGCTGCGCCAAGCAAAGCCTGGGAGCACCGTTTGGAGGTGAAGGCGAATTCTACTCCTTAGTCCGTGAGGGTCGCAGAGGGTTCAGATGTTCCTTGAGTTCACGACGGTGAAAGTTGAGTTGGTGCTCCTCTCAGACTCTTCTGCAGCAACATACATTTGCCAAAGACAAGGTTCAGGCAAGGCTAGACATTTTGCCATGAAGGGGGTGTGGTTGCAGCAAGCGGTGAGGGACAAAGTGCTGTCGATAGAAGCCACAGACACTCTTTAGAACTGGAGTGACGGAACGAAGTGCCTGGAGAAGGCCAGTTTGGACAGCCTGATGCGTCAGATGCCAGTGAACAGACCAGTGCTGAGCTGATGGCTAGCCTGGATGGTTTTGAGGCCTTGGCATGGTAGTGGTAACGCTACTGACTTTGTTCTGTGTCCCGGGCTTTTGTGTCAGCATGATGGAGTGTGGGGAGTGTGAGGCCGACCATGGCGTCACAAGAATGCCCGGCAGAAGAAGTCAGCGGCCTAAGCTTGCAGAGGGAGTTGCAAGCGTCAGGATCGCAGGAGAATCCGCATCCTGGGTCATGGGAACAGCATGATGGACCTTGACGGGCTTCCACCAACAGAGAACTTAGACGACATGTTCTCAACGCACTTCCCAAGACGGTCTTGGTCTGTATATGTCAAGATCTTCGGTTTTACGTCACCGGAAACAGGAGTGACATAATTGAACTGAACATGTCCTCGATGCGTGGAGGATTGGCAGCGATGAGCAGCTGCGCCAGCTTACGCGTGTCTTTCAGCGGTCGGGCGCAATACCGTCAGCAGATGACTTGGCGAGCCCTGAGAGGCGTAGAGCTTGGCTGAATGATTTAAGAATCCACAGGTTGACTGAAGCTGAAACAGCTTGAGTCATGGAGGGCCACATATGTTTGTACAAATGCATGTGCAAAGTGTTCTTCTCGGCTCTCTTCTAAAAAGTACACAGGAATCCCTGAACCAGGGTGGAATTGAATGAACTGTCGGTACACTTGCTCAAGAAAGAAAACCAGCGCTACCAGTGCTGTTTCATAATCGTTTCCAAGCTAATGGCGACGGCCGCCAACCTAGAAGCGATGGCCTTCAACCCAACATTTTCATTCTACAGTTTCTTGTTTCTGACTTGACCCTTCATCTCTCTTCAAGACGGTAAAGCCTCCACGCCGAAAACGTGCAGTTGACCCTACTGACGTTCACCTCACATGTCCACCAGCTCACTTTGTGTTATGAGTTGTAATTGCACCTCCGTGTGCTCACTGGTTTTCTTCGAGCAGTTCGACTTCTAGGGGGATACAGGATGAAGCCACTAAATACAGTGCTTTCAAGAAATTGAAATTTTTTCTAACTTTTTCCGTTCAAAACTCAAAATGACCAAGGTTCAATCCATTCATTGCGCGGGAGCTGCCCAGGGGGAAGTTCTCCAGCTTTCCCACCAACATCACCAGGCCAACTCGGAACTTGCTGTGGAAGACGCATATTTTTAAAACGGTTTGTCAAATCGCATTCTTGGGTTCAGACGGTTTGTTGCAATTTAGTCCATTTCAAATGTAAACCAACCAGCAAGGAACAGCAGGGGCAATGTAAAATTCTAGGCATTGAAGAGGTCAGGCCAAGAATGGGAGGTGCATGCTCAGGTGGAGTGTTCACGCAAGCATACAACATAGAAAGATGCGTAACCAACCAAATTATACCAAATTGCTTAGCCAGCTGATTGCTTAATCGCTTTAGCGGGGATGTTTTGCACAGGGGCTTGCAAAACAAGAAGTCACTGAGACAAGCAGATGCGGTTGCAATGGAGTCCTGCAGAGCGAGCGAACGAGGAGCTTTAGGCAGAGTTTTCTCCTTCTCCCTGAATAAGCGCCAGAGATTTGTTTTTTTCAGTCTACCTTTTGCAAATCTGGTCACGAAGTCAGAAAGTGCCTGCCAACACGTTGAGACAGCAGAAACCAAACTATTTAAGTTGCGGCGCTTGTTTTTCCAGCTGGAACGTTTTTGATATTCTGAGTTATTGCTCAATTTCAATAAGCCTAAGTTATTGGGCCAAATCACTCGAGCTAGTGATTTTGATGCGGCCAGCCTCGACAAAATTGGCTGCACTATGCCAAGAAACTCAATCTCCAGCATTATGAAGAAGGGCCCACTGATGACAACCATATCTGATGCGGCCTTGCAAAGATCTTTTTGATTCATCCGCTAAGGCTTGGCTACGCCAACGCTGTGTTTGTTTTGACGATAAAGTCGAATTACGGTAGGGGGGTCAAAAGTTATCAAGGCAAGCCTTAAGTTCACACTTCGAAACCTTGCAGGACATCTCCTCAGACCCACTTGTAAGCAAGGCAGGCCAGGCTAATCCTTGAGTTCCACAACACTTAAAAGCCCTAAACCTGACAGCGACCACCGCGGTCTTTTGGGACAGTGAGTTGTGTTTCTTCAAGTTGCATTTGTGTTTTTTCTGGTGTTGTTTCTCGTGTTTTTTGCGAAAGGGTTAGGGGGCAAGAGGGCACCAGAAGTACTTCTTTGGCTGTTATGGTGTTTGTTCGGGCATTTAACAATGGTATTTTTGTCGCATGTTGAAGTACGCTAAGCCCATGGATGTATTTGTCGCGCTCATCCAGGACAAGAACATGTTGCTTGACGAAAACAATGAAAACGTGTCAAGACGTTTGCGTCAATTTGGACATTCTGCCTACCTTAACTTCCACTTTTTTCGGCGCATGCCGGCAAGGGGGCCTCCGCGAAACCATTTGCCGGGTGCGAAAACTGATTGGGCGTTCACTCTTGCTTTGCAAATAACGCATCGCTACTAGGAGCGATCGGACGCTACGAACGAAGCTACTTTTGTGCACTTTCTGAAAGAAACGTAGCTACGCTTAGCTACTAGGAACAAGCGCATCGCTACTAGGAGCCAGGGCCTTACTAGTAACAAGAAGCCATTAGAATTAAGATCATATAGTAGACTCATATAGTAGGTTCATATGGCTTCTTCTTTTTACTTTTTGCTTTTCGTTTGATCGGGGCACGCGGGCCCCACGGGGCCCCACGGGCCGCACAGGCAGCTACCCAAATCTCCAGATCCATTGGGTTTTACCTCCTACAGACAGGAGAGAGAGGGAGAGAAAGAGAGAGAAGTATTTGTATTGTTTTATTTGTATTTGTTTCTTTTTCTGTATTGTTCTGTATTTGAAATATGTTGTTCTGTATTTTTTTCGTTTTGGTTTTTAGTATTGCTAGTAACAAGGTTTCGGCTCTGTGACTCTGTGACACCTAGTGTTTAGGAACCTTAGCTGGGACCTTAGCGCGTTGCGCGGTTCTCCGTATTGGCCTGGGAGGCCATAGGAGAACTTGTTAGTGCGTGGGTGGCGGCTTCTGCCTGTGCGCTCTATACATTTTGTGGGCTTCCTTCCAGACCCTTTCTTATAGCTGCTTTGAAGGTTATTTTGCTGTCGAATTCGAAAAAGAGGAGAGATCGAAAGAAACGAGCACAGGCTCGTGCCCTGCTCTGGCAAGCGAAGTTTGCCGGATTGAAGTTGACCATAGCCAGAATTGGTCAACTCAAGCAGAGGCTCAAGGCACATCACAGCTGGGATCCAAATTATCAGCAAACAGTGGATTTGGACAGCAGGGTTTGGCATTGCCCGAACTGCGGCTTCAAAGTTCCAGACTCAGTCTGGTTCTGCGGTCAGTGTGGGACTGAATGGGCCACGCAAGGAAAAGCGCGTTCCAAGTCGCGGACAAAGGAAGAGGGGCCTTTCACCCCCCAGAACTGAGCCGTGAAGCAAGCAGACGCCGATGTGCCATGGCCCCGGCAGGTCGGTTGGCAAAGCCGGGAGCT